TAGCTTGCTGAGATGTTCCATCAGAAAACAGTACTTTCACCCAAGAAACAGGGATGTGCTCTTGAATACCTGGGAAGGGAGAATAGTGTAACCTAAAAATTTGTTTCCTCATATTAATTTGAAATTAAAAAAAAAAAAACAGATGCAAAAGTTTGACTGAATCACTTCCAGAATGCATGCTTAATATCCTTCCAAATTAGAGTGGAAGAAATTACATGGCTAGAACTGGAGATTTTTAGATAAGGTACAACAATTATATGTTGATTTTGCTATTTTAAAGGGCTTCCTGGACAATGGCTAGAACCTAATCAAACATATAAGAAGATTTTAATATATTAAGATTGCATGACAGTTTTAATAAAAGTAAAATTAACCTATGGAAAAATTTTTATAGATATTTAAAACAGTTTCTTCCTTTCCTTCTCTCGCCATCCTCCCCTCCCTCCCTACCTCCTTCTGTCTTCTCTCTCTCTTTCTTTCTTTCTTCCCTCCCTTCCTTTTCCCTCCTTCTCTCTTCTCTCTATCTCTCTCTTTCTTTCTTTTCTCTTAATGGGGCACTAAAGATACACCAAAAAAAAAAAAAAAAAAAAAAAGGAAAGATGAGTGTTTACATACAACAGCAGTAAGACAGGAGAATTGCTAGAATGTGGTTGACCACCATGTACATTGAGGACAGAAAAGAGTTTCTTTTTTCTTTTCTTTTTTTTAGAGACAGAGTCTTACTCTGTCACCCTTGGTAGAGTGCAGTGGTGTCACAGCTCACAGCAACCTCCAACTCCTGGGCTTAGGCGATTCTCTTGCCTGAGAAGCTGAGACTACAGGTGCCTGCCACAACGCCCGGTTGTTTTTTTGTTGCAGTTTGGCCGGGGCTGGGTTTGAACCTGCCACCCTCAGTATATGGGGCCAGCACCCTACCCACTGAGCCATAGGTGCTCCCCCAGAAAAGGGTTTCTTGAATTTACCAGTCTTAACAGAGAAAAGAGAATTTGATTGAGAAGCTGAAGTCTGCTATGAGTAGGGAGGAAGGATATTAAAGACAAACATATGGAAATATTGGGGACTCATTAGAGAAAAAATTGTGGAAATAAGAATGAGAAAAGGGAAGAGAGTAAAGAGAACCACAAAGTGAGGCTGGATAGGTAAGGAAGGTTCTGGGTGGGAAGCATGGTTTGCAGAGCAGAATACAATTTTACATGTTTTTCCTGGAAGCAAAATGAAAGCCATTGAAGAATTTTGACCAGGAAAGTAACATTTATTGAGTGCTTAGTATACTCAAATCACTGAATATAACTGTTAACCAAACTGTGAACTCTGTAAAGAAGTGTTTAATTATGCTTCTTTAAAGATGTTCCTTCTCACTGAGTTTAAAGGCTTTATTATGAGGAGTATACAGATGTACCTGGAAAAACATGAATCTGAGAATATAACTTAAAAGATGAGATTTATACTCTTGTATTGCACTGGAATTATCAGTTTATCAAACTGTAAATACTGTAATAAACCTTTTTTAAAAACGATGTCACTGTGTGAAAGGCTCTTTATGTCATTATTTTATATAATGATCATTTTACATAGTAATCTTAAGTATGTAGATAGTATTATCACACTCATTTTGCAGATGAGGAAACTGAGGTACAGAAAAGTATAGAAACAAGTTACGGTTCTACAAAGTTGCAGATCTTCACGTAGATTCAGCAGTTTGACACCAGAGGTGGGTCTCTTAAATCTTACTCTATTTCACCTTTATGTTCGATAGAAATATGATACAGGCTGAGAAGAGGGATCCCCCAACAAAGGCACAGAAGGGCTTATTTGTTTTATTGTTAACGTCTATTGTTAGAAATAAATGAATGTCTTGAACTTGTTCTTTCAAAAAAATGAAGACATATAGAGACTGGCTATAATATGGATTATGTCTTTATATGTGTACAGCAACTCAACATCAGGTCGGCTAGTAAAAATTTTTCCTTAGATTTTAAAAAAACTGTTAGAAATTAACAATAAAACAAATAATCAATATAAAATGTATTGAACTTGATCTTTCAAAAAAATGAAAAAATACTGGCAATATGGATTATGTCTTTATATGTGTACAGCAACTCAACATCAGGTCAGCTAGTACAATTTTTTTCTTAGATTTCAAAAAACTGCCCATAACAGAATGAGAAAAAGTGCGTGGGCAAGAATAATTTGCTTAAAATTATTTGCTTATAGAAGAATCAATAGTGGTATAACTAAAGTGGTGAAGTGAAATAGGAAACTGCTGTTATTTAGCTTTAACTTTATGACAAGTATACTGGTATTTTGGTATGTTGTTATACTTGCCTTTACTATTGGCAAAACACCTTAATTATGTCTCGGAATCTGTATCAAAAGAACAAGAAGTGTGAAATAGATATTTGAAAGGTAATTTTGAGAATCTCTCTATATTGTCTTCAGATCCATGCATTGTATTTATTTTATAAATCCTATCTGGAGGTTATCTGGAAATTTAAATAATTGACCACAAGGGGGAGAACTCTAATTCTACATTAAATCATTTATTACAATAGAAAATAATCTGAAAGTACTTTGCTGTACGAATTTGGTGATAGTCTGCCTCATTTCTACTTCCTCGTGATAGTTGAGGGAATTCTGCTGGTTAGAGAGAGATTTAATTGAAATTTGGGCTTTTGTTGCTAACATTATGATAAAGTCACTGGATGTCAAAATCTATTTCTATTAAAGCAATAACGCTCCACAAAGGAATCCAAATGTCTCTTTTACTAAAATATTCAAATCATGTTTTAGTTTTTCTTCAGTAAATCTATAACCTTCCTGAATGTCCTTGGTTCACACTGAAAGAAGCACAAGATCATCAACAGGGCAATCTATATATTTTTTTTTAAGAGTGGTTCACCAACTTTATTTTATTTATTTTTTTATTAATGTACATTAATACCTTTATGGGGTTCAGTGTACTGATTTGATATACAATGTGAAATGCTTAAATAGTTTTGAAATGCACCTAATGTGCATGATGCAATGGTACATTTCAAAACAGGGCAATCTATTGTAAAGTGTCCATATTAAAAAACAAAAGGATTAGAATGGTGCTGACCACACCATTTGAATGTTATATGTTCATTGAACAAATATGGGGGTATGTTGTGTGTTCATTGTTATAGGAACATTAGATGTTATATATTCATAGTGTTCAATTTTATTTTTCTGTTCAGGTTAAAATCTACCCTCTGGTTTTATATGAAGTTTTATTATAAGCCAACTATAAGTTTCATTGAGGGGAGAATTACCTTATGAATCTTACTAAGCTTTAATGATTTGCCATTTTGGTTCCATCAAACTAAATTATATTTTTAAGGTATGAATAGAAGATTTATGGATTTTAATCTAGGTACTCAAACATACACAGCTAAGTGAGTCTGCTAGAAAGACATTGTGTTAGTGACCTATGTAAGTATTTCAATAATGCATCTATTATTGAAAACAATATTTGTTTTGCCTTAGAGGTGAGTGAGTTTCACATTCTTTTTAATGTATTCATAGACATATATTCCTTTGAAAGTTCATGTAACATTTAAAAACAAACATTTCTGTGAACAAAGATACAATAGTAAAGTAACTAATCAGGTTGGAATTTAATAATTTGGATATAAAAAACTGGATGTAACTAAATATTTAAGTTCTCTTTCATTTATAAACCTCTTCCATTCAACTGCCATAAAAAACTCACGAAATGTTGTCAGCAATGATGTTGTCACTGTGATAAGTATAGCCCCTCTATGATGAGCCATTTTCTTTGAGTAAATCCCTATCTGATACTGACATGAATAAGGATGCCAAGCTTTCTACATATGAAAAATTTGAAGTACACACTGAGATGGCATTTTGCCCCAAAGAGACTAAAAATCAAATAATTTAAAAACAAAACTGAAATTATATCAGTGTTTCCTCCATTAAAACTAATGGCTGTTTCACAAGATATTAAGGTGATTTGGAACAATATTGTAGCAGTATTCAAAATATCGATGTTATTAAGTGTTTAAATATTTTCAACAATGAAGAAAAGCATTAGTTCTGGATAAAGGAGTAGAGAGACAAACTTCTTGGTCTATAGAAGATTAGGTATAATTAATTGCTTTGTAGAAAGTGAACTGAGAAAATAACCAGTGAATTTAATCTTATGTAAAATCATTGACAAACACGCTTTAAAAGTGGGCAGGTAATGTCTTCTGTGTAGCCTGCTATGTGACTTTGTGCCTGGCAAAAGTCTGCCACATAGAAGGATGCCCAAAATACCGTGTTGCCTGAAGAAGTATGAAGCCATCTGATAATGTATTTTCTTATTATTTCAAATAGCTATTGTGTTCTTTAGCTTTATAATGGTTTCAGTATTCTTGATTATATAGGCCAGAGTATGGGAGCTTTGGAATTATTTTCAAAGGTTAGATTTTGTTTCCTGATTGCAGGAATTATACAGCAATCTATTCCCTTACCTGTGCTCTTAAAGCCCTTCCTACTTAGTGCTATAATAATTACATCACATCATATCATATATGATAAAATAATTACTTTTACACATATCCACTTCTAACCTTAGGTTGCAAGCAACTCAAGGGTGGGATTTTTCTCTTAAATGTTCTAGCCCCACAACACTGTCCTTCCACATGACCACTGTGTAGTCATGGCTGTTCAGTCACTGAATTTGTCTTTTTTCATCTACACTTTTCTTTTAAAAATTAAGCTATTCCATGAAAATGATGTTAACATTTGAGAATTACACTCATTAGTATTGAAATAATGTATTGAATTTAGTATCAGAATAAATACATTTTTAAGTTAGCTCCATATATTCTGTAAACACTATTACCTTTGTGCTTATGGTGGTGGTCTTTTTCTTTTTTTTTTTTTGAAAGAGAAGAGTAACTTTAGAAATATTTTCCTTTTATTCAAGTAGCACATATTCCTTAAGAGACATGAGCATAGTGTCTCTATTAATTTTAGAAACGGGAAGGAGCAGGCCATACCACCTCGGAATCAAAGGTGATATATACGGGTTTATTGTACATATTTATGAATGTTGCTGGGTCCATGAATTCTTTGCATTTGCACAAGTACTTTATGATTTGTTCTGGAAGGAGTAGGTCAGGTGCAATTTGGTGCAAGTTATCGCCTGGTCCTTTACTGCCCACTTTAATAGTCTTAAAAAGGAAGAATGACAGTTTATGGATGTGGGTGATAAACTCTGTGGTGACCTCTTTTAGGGACTGGGATTGTGTCACGTCATCAAGATACATAACTGGCACTTTTATTACTGAAACATACCATTGCATGAAGAGCCTGGTTGGGATGTTATGAGAAATGACTATAATTTTCATTTCTTGTGCAAAATATTGTGGATCGTTTTCATGGGCCAGGTAATCTAAAAGAATTTGGAAAAGAGTTCCGTTAGAGGACTCAAGGATATGCAGAAGGGACGTGGGGTATATGAGCAGAACTCCTGTCACTGCTTCTTCTAGATGCTGTTTCAGGATTGATTGAAACACTTGCTCATAGTATTCAGCAATATCTTTTTTTTCAACATTTGCTTGTATCTTGGCCACGAGAAACATCCTATGAAGGAGGAATTTCTTAAACTGCAGTCTTTGCTTGTCCTCCTGAACGTGCAAGTAATTGCCACGTGGAACTTGTGGCACTAGCAGGGATTCCAAGGGAAAAGGCTTTTTTTTGGCCTTTGGCTCAAAGGTCATGATGACTCTTACTCTTCTTGATGATTCCAACTTTTAGTATATCACAATATTTACACTATTATGGTACCTCCTTGTGGTAGATTCTTATTTCTATTTATTCTGTCAAGAAAAGAAAAGATTAAATCAGTTAGTTAAATGTTACTGATTAGCAAAAGCCCTTTCTAGTGTTACTGATAAACAATGCCTTTGGGAAAAAAACAAGACTCAAATTATAGAGTTTTAAAAAATTTTACAGTAAAATAGTAAGCATACCTAGGAAAAATCTCTTCGCAGGTAACATAATGGTGACTATAGAGTGTCCTTTGTTTGTTAAATCTTTTACAAATGTCCTTTTGATGGTGATTCTTTCAATTTCCTTTGTAAATTTTATTGGTCTATAAAATTTTTGAAAAAAGATCTGAGGCTTTCTAAGTCCTAATTAGCTTCTTTAATTTTTACTCAGGACACTAAAAGTTAATAGTGTTGCTTAGATAATAACAATAAACATTTCCAGTAACAAGTTTTGAGTCTTTGTTTTTTCTCCTATCAACACATCTTAGAAATACCTGTTTCTCTCTCTCTTTTTTTCTTGTTGTTGCCCTAAGGGCTAAATAAAAATATTCTGCTACTTTAACTAACTCTTCTTAGAAATCTCCTTTATTTTTTCCAGGTCAGCTTTACATTTCTCTTTTCAAGTGCTTCCTTCATTTACCTGTCCTCCAGGCCCCGCTTGTTATCCATCATGCTTCCAACTGCCAGTCCTCTGGTGTTCTCAGCTGCCCTGAGTTCTGACATCCATAGAGCACTAGGAAACCAGAATGTCAGTGGCTTTAAAGGACTAGTGCACTCTCGCCTCTCCTATTTCTTAATTTAATGAGCATGATCTGTATGTTTTTCCAAGTCCTTGTTGATCACCAGGAAAAGAATTTTGGGATTCATCATGTAAGCCAAACAAGCAACGGCTATTTTTTTTTAATTGAAAACAAAAGTACACTCTCAAAGGGGAGAGTAGGCAAGCTCAACAAAGAGCAGCTGCCTTAGGAGGAAAAGGGTTTTGGTGTTTCGAAGTCTTATGAATTGAGGGGAGGACTATTCAATGCTAAGGGATTGGCTTTTATTAAGAATTTGGGTAGTAATTCTTAGAATTTGTTTCCCTCCCATTTTTATACATTATATGGTTTTTTTAGGAATGCCATACTGATTTCAGGGTTGGAAAAAATTTAAAACCGCAATGTAAATGATACTGTAATTAGCCAAAGTCCATGAAAGGTGACAGAGATACCTGACAGGTGATTCAAACTGGATCTTTCCTGAAGTCCTCAGCCCTCTAGTTAGCTTCTGCCTGAGGGTTGTTTACTTACCACCTACACTCAGTCTTCAAGCCCCTGCATCCAATATCAGCCCTTTCTTCTCTCTAAGGAGGGTATACCTCAACAAATGCCTCAGAAACACTGTTGGAGAAGTAAATGCTTCTTTTCTGGAATGGCTTATTTTTAGCCAGTGTCAGCCATATGGTGGACATTTTCTTTTTGGTAAATAAAAAGTACAGTTGTAGAACTCTGTTTTACTTCTACTCTTACTTATACACTAAAAGACTATAGAACCTATCTGCGTCTGCATGATGGTGATAGAAGACATTTCACCAATAGGATTAAGTTAATTTTTGAATAAAAATACTTTCTAATAATTACATTCACACGAACTCTAAACAATAATTGCAGACAAGATTAGAAAATACTTTTCATCAACTTTTAAAATTTAAATCTGAAAGTATATATCCTCCCCCCCAATGTTTGTGTTATCTACGGTAATGATCTAGTTTTAATAATATATAATGATGAATTATCCAGGCAAATGCTGGCAGAGAGGTCACTTAATATCTCCGTCATTGCCTGATACTTAAAATCTGCCTGTACTTCCACACTGTGATTCACTTCATTACTCCCTGAAACAATACAATCCTTCCCAAGGCATTAACCTTGGTGCCAAATCTAGCCATTGCACAGTTCGGGGATTTTCTGACCTTATTCTTATTGCAGAATGTAGCCATGTTGATTACAACCTCCACTGCGGTCTTTTCCCTTGCCTGGCTTCCATGATACTGTACTCTGGATTTCTTTCCAAACCTACATATGCGGCCTAGCTTCATTCCTTCTCACACCCAACTCTGGACAATGTTGTGGTTCTGTGCTCACCATGCAGACCTCTCACTGGCTTCCTTGCCCTGTTACCTGTTTGGAAAGTATTTTCATTCAAAAATTAACTTAATCCTATTGGTGAAATGTGTCCTATCACCATTATGCAGACGCAGATAGGTTCTTATAGTCTTTTAGTGTATAAGTAGAGTATAAGTAAAACAGAGGAGTTCTGCAGCACCATCTGTATTTCTTTTCTATGAGGTGAGGTGGGTGGTCCTTGATGCCACTAGATTGATCACAGACTTTCCCTGCTGAGCTCAGCTGTGCAGTTGGAGAATGCTTCTCAATCTAAGGCTCAAGGCAGACACAACCGGTTGATTGATATTGATAAAGGAGAAAAAACTGAGTTCTTATTCCAGAAATTTTCCTATCGAGGAGGCTTGGAGATTACTATCTCCAGTCTTTATTTCCAACTCTTTTCTCCTTGGATGCACCTCTGTCCTTCCAATTTAAACTCTTATCTTCGTTAAACATATTTCCCTTAACAAATACCCCACTTGTGGTTCACATTTTTTTTTTTTCTCTCAGCTCCCAGGTCCAAATACTTCATTTTATCTTTTCATCTTTCCTAAAAGTTATGTGCTCCAAATCTATTCTCTTAATTCTTTTTACTCCCTTTGATATGCCTTCTGGGTTCTTTATTTCTGCTTTCTCCCTCACAGTCCTACCTCTGTGTTTGGATTATAGTAAGAATCTTCTAGCCTCTATACTTCTCTCTGCTCCACAAATTCAGCTAAGAGTATGAAACTGTAAGTTCTTATCATATATATGCTTTATAAGGTTACAAAGATACTGATTTTATAAGGCCCTATCTGTTTGCTTAACCACCATAGAATGCTAGGAGAGGAATCTTCACCAGGTTTCTGGCATTTATTTCCAATGATGGATTAATGGGGATTAAGTCAGACAGAATATGGGGACAGACAGTGGTGTGGTTTCTTACCTAGCATTGATACTGATCAAAGTCAGTGGAAGAATTTACAAGTAGAAACATAAAAAAATTAAAATGATTAAATTGCAACCCAGAATCCTCTTTTCATTTTTCTTTTTTTGAGACAGAGTCTCACTTTGTTGCCCTCAAAGTGGCACAGCTCACAGCAACCTCAAACTCGTGGGCTCAAGTGATTCTCTTGCCTCAGATTCCCAAGTAGCTGGGACTATAGGCGCCCACGATAATGTCCAGCTATTTTTAGAGATGGGGTATCAGCTCAGGCTGGTCTTGAATGTCTGAGCTCAAGCAATCCACTTGCCTTGGCGTCCTAGAGTGCTAGGATTATAGGTGTGAGCCACTTTTCCTGGCCTTAGGATCTCCTTTTCAGTACATAAGTTATAAATTAAACCTTTATAGATAGGTAAGATTCTTCTTCCTCAGGAAGATTCTTCTTCTTCATAAAACTGTTCTTCACCTATAGCACAATTTCCTCCCAAGGTAAAAACCTATCTCTCAAGATAAGGCTAACTATGGGATATATTTTCCTGCCTCAGATCTCTGTTGATTCCATTTACATATTTTAAATTTTAATTATGTTCTTAAAAATAAATAATTCCCAACAAAATGAGAGTGATGTACAGTAAGGTTTGGAACATGGTTTTTCACTCAGCTAGTCAGATTCCTACTATTTTCTTGTGTGCCCTAACTTTTGGGATAACTATTAAGACCTATTTCATGATTCTACTTGTTTTATCTTTGACTTCACTTTCTTCCGAGTCTGAGGAACCCACACTACTTCTTCCAAATTACCTTTTTAAGATTTCTATTTTTTGCTGGCATTGCAACTGTGATACCATTCCACCCCTCAGATTATCACTTCTCTCTGATCAATATTTTTTCTCACTCAACATTTCCATAGTGATTATGTGTCTTTTTCATTTTTTCTTCCTATAACAAAGAGCTCAATGGTGATCTTTCCTGCACGTGGACTTTCTTCTCCTTTTCTTTTATACTTTTGGTTCCTCCAGTATAAGCCTACTAGAAAGATAATGATGTTTCTGACCAAATAAAACTAGAAACAACATGAAATTCAGACAGTTTTTGATTGATTCACATATGTAATTAAAATTATACACTCTCCTTTCAATGGACATTCAGCATTTGAGCATCCCAGGGGCACAATCCTGTCTTCCATCTATTAAGGGCCATTTACGTCAGATGATGACTCAAACAGGAGAACTTTTCTGTCTATCCATCTGGAAGAAGAGGCATTTGTGTTATTCCACCCAGAGTGATCTGTTTAGATATTCAAGTTCAAGTTTAAACAACTGCTAAGTCACAGAACTTGAATAGAAACTATGATTCTAACTCTTCCTTCAATTATTCTATTTGTCCATTCTTCTTTTGCAAGTAAATCTCCTAATATGTGGCATATATTTGTAACTTATCAGTGTACTTACTGTTCCCTATGTACTTTATTCTGCAAGACTAAATGTTTCTGAATAAAAAAACTCCCAGTGTTGTTTTGTCTTTATGCTAGACAAAAAAACTCCCAGTGTTGTTTTGTCTTTATGCTAGACATAAAAATGATTAAATGCCATTTATTGAGTACGTACCATGTGCCATGAACTAGATAGCTTTATATGCATAATGTTCACAGCTCTCTAGGTACATAGAAATTTTCTCATAATTTATGGAGGAGGGAGCTAAAATATAGAGTCATTAAGTACTTTGCACACAATTAAAATCTGTTCTCGGCTCAGTGCCTGTAGCTTAGCAGCTAGGGTGCCAGCCACATATACTGGAGCTGGCGGGTTTGAACCCAGCCCGAGCCTGCCAAACAACAATGACAACTACAACCAAAAAATAGCTGGGAGTTGTGGTGGATGCCT